CCGGCCACTGGATGGCGGCTCATGGCAGCCCACTGCAGCCCACTGCAGCCTACGCCATTGCCGGCAACTCACGGCAGCCCAGCTCCAGGTCGAGCTGTTGTTCACCATCTTAGCTGTAGCGAGCGCAGCGTCACTGGCCCATGTGGGAACCAAACCAGCTGCTCTGCTGCTCAGAGCTTGCGCTCAAGCCAACTGTTAACCAACTGAACCACTCAGCCGGCCCCCAGGCTTTTTAATAGAAGTGCCGAGGGACTTCTGTTCAGGTGGGGCCAAAAGTGACAGAGATGAGAGGCATAGTGAAATTAACTGAAATCAAAATTCTCTGCAGGTTCAGGAAAAATTCTAGGTGGTGACGGAAGGCTTTATGAGACTCAGCTTTAGAACTTTTGTTAAGGTTCTAATAGAATTTTGGCAAAGACTTGTTTTGCTCCTGTGCTGTCACTGAAGAGAGCTTTGGTTCAGATAAGGAAGGAAAAGAAAAAAGGTAGTAAAATGAAGGGGGAGGTAATATTTTTGCCAATTTGTTAAGGATAAATTAAGCCTAAAAACTCTAAAGAGTTTTTACCCCAATTATTTTATATTTATTAAAATACACATTCAAAAATAATAAGATGCACATTCAAAGTAGACTTCTATATAAGATTATCAAAATATTAGAAAGCATGAGGTTCCACATTAAATACACATATAATGTACCACAGTTTGATATTTTTGTGACAAGACGATAATTGTCACTCAGTTACCTTAAACTACAAACTAAACCGTATTTATATAAAACACATTAAACCAGTCAGATGTATTATAACAATAACAAAATAATCCAAGATATATTAAACAAATTTTTTAATACAACCAAAATATTATATACTTTAAAACAAAAATTTCAACATAACTAAAGATGATTAATTGTATACTTTTAAAATAGAACAAGTGGGCTGGCCAAGTGGCACGTTGGTTAAGAGCTGGCTTGGTTAAGAGTTCTGAGCAGCAGGGCCCTGGTTCAGATCCCACATGCGGGCCAGGGACACTGCCCTTTACAGCTAAAATGGTGAACAACAGCTTGACCTGGAGCTGGGCTGCTGTGAGTTGCCAGCGACAGCGTAGGCTGCAGCCCCTGCTGCAGTGGGCTGCCATAAGCTACCGTGAGCAGCCGTCCAGCGGCCGGCGACCGATCTGCCTCACCCGGGAAGAACGCAATGATAATACCAACATGGGCCAGTGAAGTAACGTCCTCCACAACTAGACTGAAGAACAAAAGGACAGCAGCTTGTCTGTTCCCCTTCCCCTGATTACCCAGCACTGTTCCCCTCCCCTAATTCCCCAATAAAATCTTTTAAAAAATAAAATAAATAAAATAAAATAGAACAAGTGATTCTTGAAAGGCAGATAACAACAAAGATTCCAGGGAAGTTAATGCTTTTAAAGTAGGCCATGTTAATTCAAGTTCAGCAAAGGTTGGGGATACAAGTATTTCTTCTTTTCAAGTTAGATTTTTTTTTAATAGGCAGTTTTTTTCTATTCCCCTTGCCTCTCTCCTCCATTCCTTTTCTTCCCCCTCCCTTGCTCTTTACTTTTAAAATCTATATTAAAATGTCTTGTAATTTTTAAAAGCTATCATGTGCAGTGACCAGAGCCCTTAACAGCAAAGTTAAATGCCAACCCACAAATATCAGTTAGTGAAGTTACTCCGGAGCAAATGACACAACTGAAACCTTCAAACTGTGTTCATTGCTTCATTCCATTATACCTACTATTCCAAAGGAGTAAATTCCAATTCCTTCAGTGGCTGAAAACTGAAGGAATATTGGGATAACTTGCAAGTTGGATCACTGCCATTTGTAAGGTACGGTACCTATTGACATCAAATTAAGATTGGAATGTGGTAATAATGGTCATTTTTAGTTAGCAAGGGGAACTCATTGTTCATGTTACTATGCATGTCTCTCCTCTCATGCTTCTCTTAATGATTTTATATTTAACTGTGTGCATTTTATTTCACTGCTAACTTATTGATAAACATATCAAGAATAGAGATGAGTTTTCTAGTCATACTAATATCCCACTTCCTAGAATACTTACTAGATACTCATAAAATTGAATTAATCTTTCATCTAGTTATGTTCTTCTTTGCCTTCTAAAGTCTAAATTTATTTACATTGTAGATGCTGAGAAGAACTTTTAAAGGGTCTGAAAGCAAAGTACTGGACATAACACCTGAGATACCAAATTTGGTGCCATTTGGGGATGTGGTATGTATGACTAATCGTCAGGAAACCTGTACAAATTATTTTGTATTTCATATGAAGACTAGTCAATGTTTATTATTTAGTAATCAAAAAGCATGTACAGAAAATGGTACTCATAACATATTCATGAATTTTCATATTTGTGAGTCAGAAAAGCATTCTAATGTTCAATGAAGTTATGGAAAACACCCTGATTCACAGGAAAAAAAAAGTTTTCTATGCTAGGGATTCCCAAACTCAAGTTACATCAGAATCACCTAGAATACTTTTTAAAAACATTGATTCTTGGGCCCCATCTATGGTCTGCTAATTTAGAATCCGAGAATGAGGCCTAGAAATCAGTATTTTTATTGAGCCCTTAAGGTGATTGTATTTATTGTCAGATTTAGGAACCTTTGAGCTACAGTTTGAAAATTGACCCACATCTCTTCCTCATATCCAAAGAATAGTAAACCCCAGAACAAAGGCAAACACACTCATTAATCATACACATACACACAAACACACAGGTAGAACCTGATATCTAGGTTGAGAACCAGAAAAATCTGTTCTTTCTTTTGAGTGCTATATAAGACATGAGTATGTATGCACATTTAGAACTGTCAAGTATTTTGGTATTCTTTTATCTTTATTTTATGAACACTATTAGAATAGTTAATATTGGGTTGTCAAAAAAGTCATGACGTATTTTGTCTATGTTTTTCAAAGGTCATTTATTTATATAAAGAACAAAGATCAATCAATGATATATTGCCCGTTTTGTTCGATAACTTTTTACCATCTTTCAGTGAGCTTCATAATTCCTCGTCCATAGAAGGACCTGTCTTTACTGGCAAAAACTGAACAAAGTGCTGATTTACAGCCTCATCTGAATTGAATGTTATACCACGCAAGGAGATTTGAAGAGAGCAAAACAAGTGGAAGTCTGATGGCGCAAGGTCAGACGTGTATGGTGGGTGTGGCAACGTATCCCATCCAAGCTCCAATCATTTTTGACGGGTGTTCAAACTTGTGTGTGGTCTCATGTTGTCGCGATGGAACACAACTCTTTTACAATTAACAAGCTCTGGATGTTTCTGGGTGATGGATTCGTTCAAACTGTCCAGTTGCTGACAGTACACATTCGAGTTGATTGTTTGATTTTTTGGTAGGAGCTCGAAAAACACGACACCTTTAAAATCCCACCACACTGAGAGTATAACTTTCCTCTGATGAATGTCTGCTTTCGATGTCATTTGAGGCGAATCATCACGTCAGGACCAAGACCGTTTGCACACCACATTATTGTAAACAATCCATTTCTCATCACCAGTTATCAGTTGCTTCAAAAAAGGATCGTTTTCCTCACGTTTAATGAGCATATTGCAGATGTTTATATGCGCCGTTAAATAAACTTTGAGTTCATGTGGAACCCAAATATCGAGGTTGCTTACATATCCCAGCTTCTTCAGTTGGTCATGAATGCTTGAATGATGGATGTTCAATGTTTCTGCAACCTCTTGTGTCGTGTAACATGGGGTTGACTTGATCAGTGCCTTTATTTTGATGTCATCAACCTCAGTGGGCCTCCCTGACCGAGGAACGTCGTTGAGATCAAAATCACCAGCACGGAATTTTGTGAACCATCCTTGGCACTGATGTTCTTATAGAGCATTGTCACTGTAAACTTGATGCAACTTTTCACAAACTTGATGCACGTTCTTTCCTTTATGGAAGTAAAACAGTAAAATATGGCAAAAATGTAGCTTCGTCTTCCATCTCCAAATTGTTGTAAAATCTCCAAAGCTCAACCAAATCGCTCAATTTGTTTTAAGAATTAAGGTAGAACTGTCAGCTGTCAAATGACATAGCAATAACATAGATGCGAATGACCAGTACTTCCAAAAATGAAGTAGTGCCATCTGTGAAACATGCATCATGACTTTTCTGACAACCCAATAGGTATGAAATAAGAGTTTTTCTTCTCTAGCTTCTATCATATACTAGTTACTAGTATATTTTCCTGATTAAAAAATATATGACAAATTTAACACTGCCTTTTTGGGAGAAAATGTAAGACTTTAAACAAAATGACCATGGTGTATATCTATCTATATAATTATATAAAACTTTCTTTCTTATACTTAAAGTTGAAGTATAAGCCTTCACTGTCCAAATCTAAACTTAGAAAAGATTCTTTGAAATCACTTTTGGCTGTAAGCTATTATGCATGTCATTATGTTGACACACTAATTTCCATAATCCATACTTTAGACTATAACTTCTACATCTCTTTAGAACTGACATTTTGAAGAAAATTTTGATTTCACTCACACTTTCTAATTTCATAGTTTGTATTTTCCTTATCTGAATTACATGTTGCTAGACATGAAAAAGCTTCTCTTAAAAGTCAACTGGAAGTTTTTGACAGAGATATTGTGATTGTGATTGATAGCTTGTGATTGATAGCTCCTCCCAAAGCATGATTTAGCCACATCACTTTGTCTCTGAAAGTTCTGTGATTTATTCTGAAATATCTGGCAAGGTTTGTGCACGTGTAGACAATAGTAACTACAACACAACCCACTACTCCTGTTTCTGATAGTCACATTCCATTTTCAGAAAAAAAATGTGAAAAAGCTGTGTCTTAAAATTGAGCTATTGTGAACAGCTTTCTGATTGCTTCCCTGTTTTAAATGCATGTTTGAGAGTGTTTGGGGATGTAGGTTTTGGGTCTCAGAATCTGTGGCAATATTTGTTCTCTGCAGCCTGTGAGTGGTCATTATTTTTGAGTGTTCAATCTTTTCCTATACTTGAATAGAAATTTATTCTCATTTCTATATTATATGGATCTATTATGTAAAAGTATAAAGAGCTATTGAAACATAAGGAAAGTTAGGGTATTGCCCATGGCTTCATATTGAGACACTTGGCAGGTAGACAATGATTTATGACAGAATGTTAATGTATAGAATTATACAATACAAAATTGTAGCTATTCTTCCTTTTACCCTCCTTATGTACAACCCAATTTTAGGAAATAATGATTCATGGACTCACATATGGCATTACCATTTAAAATCCCGCCTAGATTATGGTATATGCATCACCCTCCCTTTGCATTTGAAAACTTAGAACCTTTCCTTTAACATAACATTTCATACCTATGTTTCCTTAAGTAGACCACAGTGTTTACTTCTTTAGGATTTCATCATTCAGCTACAGTAGTCTTTTAATTAAATATTGAATGCCAATATCTTTTTCTATATTGTTCTAAAACTAAATCTTTAATATCACTTACATTACACTTAAAAATACTATTGGGCCATTTGTTTTGTTTCACAATGTTAATATAATATTGCTGTTGCTTTTACTCATTTTTAAAAATCAAACATGGCTAAATATATTTGGCAAATACTGCATGTTAGTATTCAAGTGTTTGTGATTCGTTTTGAATTTAATTTTATGGTTAAATAAAAGATACAGTTTTCTTTAATATTTAAAAGCACTTTGTATCAGAGAAAATTAATATTTCATAGCCCTTGGCATGTTATAGTCAATGAGTGGTTGTTGAATGAACAAAGTGGTTTTAGGATACTGGATAAAAAGCTTATCTGAAGCAAGGCATATTTCTTATTATATGCATACTGCTACATTTTACCAGTTCTCACCTAATATTAAATAAAAATGATTCAAAGAATGATTTAAGTTGGTAATGAACCATTGTTTTGCTTTGTATTCATTCATTTCAGGCTTATTTTAAACAAATCCTGCATATTTTTCTTCTGCATTTCTGCTTTCTGGTGTTTCCAATAACTAGATATTTCTAATGGAAACAATATTTCTAATGAGAAAGACTAAGAAAGTGGAGCTTTGTAAAAAATATAGTTTAGTGTAGAGTAAAATAGAAGAAAAGTTAACTTTCAAAAATTCATTTGCTGTGTTTTTATTTTGTTTGTTATAGGTTGGCTGCCTGGCTATTCATGTAAAGAACTGCAGACATTTTACGCCTAAGAGTATCCTTTCTTTTGATTTAAGAACCTTACTATGATTGTATATCACTGTTTCACTTACATATTACTGCATTACATGACACTCTAAGACTTAATGGCTTAAAACATTTTATCAATCACTATCTAAACATTCACTAGGTGGTACTTCTGCTTCACGTTACCACAGCTGAGGCTGCAGTCAGCTGGCAGTTCAGAAGGGCTGGAATATCTAAAATGGCTCATTTATGTGTCTGGTGCTTAGTGAGGCTGCCTGGAAGACCGCACTCAGCTGGGATGCTGAAATGGTTGGACCTTTCTCTTTCTGTGTAGTCCTTGTCTTTTTTCTTTTTTTTCTGCATTAATTTTGATTAAAAAAACATGTTACATTAAAATATTTATCTTCGTTACTCAAGTTTGTGGTGTTCTTTTAAATGTTGCACCCTAGCTAGTGCCTCTCTCACCCTATCCTAGCCCTGGTCATGTCCATTGCCTGTTAAAGTAGTCACAGGGCCAGGCCAGATTCAAGAGCAGAGGAAAATAAATTCTACTTTTTGATTGGAAAGTGACAAAAGGTTTTCAGCCATTTGTAATTGACTTTAGTCACCATATAACTTCAAGGAAAAATATATATCTTCTTGGAAGATGTATTACTAATTAATTTCTAAGTAATATTTATTTCTAAGTAATAACTGCTTCTCTTAAACATTGTTTAAAGGATTTATTTACCTTGGTGCCTTTAAATAAGCTGAATTCCTATTAATAGATTGATTATGGCATAAACCCAGCCTCATTATGAAGACTTAGTGTTTCTTTTTTATGTAAGTAAACTAATGGGAATTCTATATAAAGAGATTTTTGAAGGTAATTAGTTATTCATAAAAACAAAGTTGTTTTAGTGCATGGAGTGCTATGAAAGATAAAAACACAGATCAATTCAGTATAAATGAAGTATATAGTGAAGTGAATTAGAGTAGAATGTTGCTTTAAATTTTGTCTTAAAATAAAAAATAAATTACTCTCAAATGACATATTTTTTAAATTTCTATACAATTATGCTTAGAAAAAACTTTCAATTATATATTGTAAATGTTTAGTCACCTTAAAAAGAAAACAAAGAAAAATTTGCAAAGGAATTATAATGGAAATGTGAGGATAAAAATACTAGAAATGATCTAAGGAAGAAGTGGACTTTTCCTACTTATATTGTACCTACCATTGATGGGCAAAATACTATTTTAAAGAACTTTTTTTTATTATTTAACTATACTCTACAATTACCTTCTTTATTTATTTGATTGATTCTTATGTTTGGCCTATATTGTTTAATGGATTAATTTTATATTGTGTTATTTTTCAATTACAACAAAATTTGCTTCCTAAATATCTATGTATTTTCAGTCAGTTTTCAACATTACAATAATTTATTCATTCGCATTTCTATAAACAACATTGTGAAATATACAAAAATACGTAGTTTGCTACCCCAGAACAAACTAAATAGCTATAATGACAAGAATGCTCTAATTAAGTTTGATGAAGTGAAATATTTTTCTGTACAGGTAATGTTAAAGTTCTCTTCTAAATATAAGAATGCATTTTTTATAGTTTCAAATAGTCTATATCTTTTTGGGGGGATAGATGAGAAATAAGCGATTTTTAAAAATTTGATATTTTACAGTAGTCTATTTCTACATTATGGGCTATATTTGTATTTTTTTAATTAAACAGCGTACTGTAGAATGCACAATCTTAGTGGTTTTCTTCCCTAGGATCTTATTGTCTGTGATTCTGTTTATCACACATGCATTTTTCTCTGTCTTGCTCTTCCCCCTCTCATCTACCCTCTCCTACCGTATCTTAGTCAGTTTGGGCTGCTATAACAAATTATCATAGACTGGGTGGCTTAAACACTTATTTCTCACCATTCTAGAAGGTGGGAAGTTCAAGATTCATTGTCTGGTGAAAGCCTAATTCTCAGTTTCCCGAGGGCCGTCTTCTCATTGCATAGTGATATGGCAGAGAGGAAAGAGAGATCATCTTTCTTGTGTTTCTTCTTATAAGGCACTAATCCAATTCATGAGGGCTCCATTCTCATGACCTAATTACCCTCCAACACCCCACCTACAAATACTATCACATTGGGGATTTAGGCTTCAACATATGAATTTTGAGTGGACACAATGTTTAGTCCAATAGTACACCCTTTCTTTTTTCTCATCTCCTCCTGTTCCTCCTTTCTTCTTATATAAAATCTCTCCAATTATTTTTGCATGAATTAACTTATTCAGTCTTTATAACCCCCCCCACACACACACCACCACTACCAATATATATATACTCTTATTAGAATCCTTACTTTGCAGATGAGGAAACAGGTACTGTAAGGTTTAAAGAATTGTCATAAAGTCATGGAAACTAGTAAGTGGGAGCTGGGACTGTAATCAGTCTGACTTCAGACTAAACTTCATTAAACTGCCTCTCACACCAGAGCTTGCCATGCTAAGAGTTTGCTTCTGTTTATAGTTAAACTTCTTAGAATCTTAAGTGTATCTAACAGTTTTCTTTAGAATGAGCAACACTATTTCATATAGCTGTCGGATTCATTGATTAGTCCAGTTGTTTCCTAATAGTTTTATTACATTGGTTGAATTTTAGTGAAATCCTAAAAATTTCCTCTATGCTCCATATTTTTTTTTTTTACAAACTTCATTTTGCTTAAATGTTGAGTATTGAAGAAAGTTCTTTAAGCATAGGTTTTTTTTGTTTTTTTTAAAGACATAGTTATGCTAAAAGTAATCCATACTCTTTCTTTAACTTTTAAAATAGTTTTCCTAAGCGTCATTGCCAAGTTTTGAGAATTTTATGGCTATATGTCCATTTAAATAAAACTTGAAATTAATACTGGAAAATAATATAAATTAACAGTACACTCATCTTCATTAGCATAATCAGTCTTTTTTCTATATTTATTTTAATAAAAACTATTAGTTTAAGCATACTAACAGAGTTTTAATGGATCTCAGAAGTTTGGGAATAACTTATGATTACATGGAAAATTACACAAGCAAACAAAAAAACAGATACATATTAACACCAGAGATATTAAAAAATGATACAGGAAAGGAAATATTATAACTATAATGTTAAACTCTGAAAAATAATTTCACATGCTTAGTTAATGTAAACACTAAGAATATATTGAGGAATGAGGAAAAGAGAAATGTGAAAATTGTGGGGGGAGGATGTTGAGAGTAATATTTTTCTTCCATAATAAGCAGTCAATAGATAGTATCTAAAACTAAAATATCAACTAATAATAATGAAAGCAAGTTACTTAAAAACATGATTCATGACAAAAAACAAACAAAAAACAGAGAAATCCCTTAAAAAGGTCAAAAGTTGGCATCCGAGGAGTAGAAATTAGGGGGTGGGTAGGGTAGTGTTCTAAAAGTATACCTGGGATTTACTTTATAGAAATATGACTCAATGATGACATGGAGAGACTAATGCTATCGAAAGGAGAATTATATTTCCCAAAAAAGTGGGACACGCCATATCACACAGGGCCACAGGGGAAGTATCCAGGTGGTGAGGAGGCAGCAGACAGAAGCAAGGGGAGAGCCTGGGCCAAAGCCTTCACTGAGCTTTCCTTGAGAAAAGCAGTGTAGGGCAGAGTCAACAGTCTAGGGGTGGCTAATTTGAATAAGTCCAGCGCTTTGGGCTGTCAGAGTAGTCTCTAGTTGCCAGGTACCAGGCCCTAAGGACGATTTAGGGCAGGGGAAGTTAGATGAGGAGGTGGTTAGGGCTATAAATTTGGAATTGGTTAGTTTGCATGTGAAAGATGTAGTCTCTCTAGGAATTGGCTAGCCTGGGAAGGGGAAGTCTCTCTCTGGCCAGCAAGCTGCTTTAATTTTTCTTTTTCTTTTTCTGTTTTTTTAAAAAGATTTTATTGAGGAATTGGGGGAGGGGAACAGCGCTGGGGAATTGGGGGAAGGGGAACAGACAAGTTGCTGTCCTTTTGTTCTTCAGTCTAGTTGTGGAGGACGTTGCTTCACTGGCCCATGTCGGTATTATCATTGCGCTCTTCCCGGGTGAGGCAGATCAGTCGCCGGCCTCTGGACAGCTGCTCACGGTGGCTGTTGGCAGCTCACACCGGCTGCCGGCCACACACGTTAGCTTATGGCAGCCAACTGCAGCAGAGGCTGCAGCCTATGCTGTTGCCGGCTACTCACTGCAGCCCAGCTCCAGATGGAGCTGTTGTTCACCATCTTAGCTGTAGAGGGCGCAGTGTCACTGGCCCTCATGTGGAATTCAAACCGAGGCTCTGCTGCTCAGAGCTGGCATCCCAAGCCAGCTCTTAACCAATGTGCCACTTGGCTCACCCTAATTTTTATATTTCAATTACAGTTGACATTCAATATTATATTAGTTTCAAGTGTACAACATAGTGGCTAGACATTTATATAATTTACGAATGATCCCCCCCCCATAACTCTAGTACCCACCTGGCACCTTAAATAGTTATTACAATATTGTTGACTATATTTTCTATGCTGTACTTTACACTTCTGTGACTATTTTGTAACTGCCAATTTGTACTTCCTCTCCCCTTTTCACCCAGCTTCCCGGTCCCTTTCCCAAAACAGAAGCAGACTCAGAGATACTGCCATCTTTTTAAGATGTCAAAACGTCATAAAATACAGGGAAAAAAGGTTAATACAGTTGGGAGGAAAAAACAGTTGTTTCTTTGTTTTAACCATTGTAGAACTGTTTGACTTCTAAACTAGATGCAATATAACTAGGATAAAATAAAATTATACTGTATATATTTTAGGACTTTAATTTGCTAAAACTTACAAAAACATACTAACAAAAAAAAAGGAATAGGAAATGGATTTAACTTAGTTTAATTGTTCTGGAAAGCTGTTGGGTAAGTGATGTAAAAGCTCCTATTGAAGATTGAATAGTAGTGGATTTCTGATCTGGCCATGCTGGAGTAGCTGACATTGGATTTACCCTTTGCTCTAAAAACTGTAAAATTATTTTCTGGTATTCTACAGTAGAAATTGGAGGGCTGCAATTATTAAGAGAAGGGAAGTGCTAGAGGTGAGTTCCACATTTACAGCAAGTTTCTTTCTGGCAGTGAACCTGGTTACAGGGAAGTGAAACCCAAGCAAAATAGCAGCCTTGTGAGGGGAGCACACAGAGGCTGAACAGAAGAAACAGATGAGAGTGTGGGGCTCCTAAGGTAACTGAAATTTGTAAGGCAGCATGCTGGAGAGGAGGGAGCAGCACATAGGAAGCCCCAGACATCTGTGTAGATATTCCACTCAGGTTCTTGGCTGGATCTTAAGTTGTTCATGTGCAAGGAGTGTTTCTAGGAGAAAATGCAGAGAATAGATGCTGGAGAGCTGAGAGCTGAACAGAGATTTCAGAAGTCACAGTTTCAAAGTCATTGGAGTCTGACACAGCTAAAATGGAGAGGCCTGGTTAAACATTCTCAGTATTCATTTGAGACCCCAGAAAGGCCAAGTCTTAGGAGTAAGTACCATTTCCTAAGAGTAAGGGTTAAACCCTAAGACAAAGAACAAAAACTGAAATAGACCCATCTTTGAACCAAGCTGTCAAAGGATCAAGATGGTCTGCCAATAATTAATTGCCTTTCAGAGAAGAACTTAATGCTTTTTAGAGGAAGACATGAAAACCAAGAGTCTACTACATATCTTTTATAATGCCCATTATACAATAAAAATTGCTACTCGTGGAGAAATAAAAACAGGCAATAGAAGTGAATCCACAGGCAAATAACAGCAGACTTCCTATCAGAAACAGTGGAGGCCAAGTGATAAGGGAATGCCATCTTTCAAGTGCTAAAAAACCTAGATTTCTAAAGCCAGTGAAAATATTCTTCAAAAAGATTGTAAAAGGCAAAAGCTGAGAGACTGAGAGTGTAGGAGACCTTTGTTATAATAAATGGCAAAGGAGGTTTCAAGTTGGAGAGGAATCCCAGATAAAAGCCCAGATGCACAGGGAGGAGGCAGGAAGAGCACTGGTAATGGTAAGTTTGTGGGTGAAAATAAGACCATTTTAAAAAAGACTATTTTTTACAAGTGTTCTTCAAAATACTATAGACTGTTTAAAACAAAGTAATGATGATGAATGGTAGAATTTGTATCATATGTGGAAGAGAAATAGGTGACGAGAATAGCACAAAGGATAAGGAGGTATAAATGGAATTATGCTGTTGTGCATGATATGGTAAAACAGTCCCATTTTCAAGTGCATAAAAAAATGAAATAACTAGGAATATATTTAATCAGGGAGGTAAAAGACCTGTATACTGAAAACTATAGCACATTGATGAAAGAATTTGAAGACACAAATAAGTGGAAGGATAGTCCATGCTTATTAATATTGTTAAAGGTCCATACTAGTCAAAGATCTAAAGTTTCAATGCAATCTCTATCAAAATTTCAATGGTATTTTTCACAGAAATAAAAAAACAATCCTAAAACTGTATGTAACCACAAAAGACCCTGAAATAGCCAGTGCAATCTTGAGAAAGAAGAATAAGCTGGAGACATCACGCTTCATGATTTCAAACTATATTACAAAGCTATAGTGATCAATACAGTATGGTATTGGCATAAAAATGAACATATAGATCAATGGAACAGAATAGAAAGCCCAGAAATAACTCTACACATATATGGTCAATTTATGACAAAGGAGCCAAGAATATTCAATGGAGAAAGGACAGTCTCTTCAATAAATGATGTTGGGAAAACTAGACAGCCACATGCAAAAGAGTGAAACTGGACCACTATCTTACACCATATACAAAAGTAAACTAAAAATATATTAAACTTGAAAATGTGTAAGACCTGAAACCATAAAACTCCTAGAAGAAAACATAGGGGTAATTTCTTGATATTGGTCTTAGCAATGATTTTTTTGGATTTGACACTGATAGCAAAAGCAACAAAAACAAAAATAAACAAGTGGGGCTACATCAAACTAAAAAGCTTCTGTACAGCAAAGGAAATCATCACAAAATGAAAACACAATCAACAGAATGGGAGAAAATATTTGCAAATCATATATCTGATAAGAGATTAACATCCAAATATATATAAAGAACTCATACAAGTCAATAGAAAAAATATCAAATCTAAAATTGGGCAGAGGATCTGAATAGACATTTTTCCAAAGAAGACATCCAAATGGCCAATAGGTACATGAAAAAGTGCTCAACATCACTAATCATTGGGAAATGCATATCAAGCCCATAGTGAGCTAGCACCTCATACCTGTTAAAATGGCTACTATTTAAAAGACAGAAAGTAACAAGTGTTGGCCAGGATGTGGCGAAAAGGGAACCCATATGCAGTATTTTTAGGGATGTAAATTGGTGCAGCCGCTATGGTAAACAGTATGGGGGTTCCTCAGAAAATTGAAAATATAACTACCATATCATCCAGTAATTCTATTTCTGGGTATTTATCCAAAGAACATAAAACCACTACCTCAACAAGATATCTGCACCCCAGTGTTCATTGCAGCATTATTTACAATAGCCAAGACATGGGAAGAAACCCAAATTGAATGGATTTTTTTATTTTAAGATTTTATTGGGGAATTGGGAAGGGTAACAGTGTTGGGGAATTGGGGAAGGGGAACAGCCAAGTTGTTGTTCTTCAGTTTTAGTTGTGGAGAGTACAGCTAGCTCAGCTCCAAGTCCAGTTGCCATCCGCGGCCACTCAGCTCAAAGTGCAAAGGTGCTGTGTTCAATCTTAGTTGCAGGTGAGTGTAGCCCATCATCCCATGCGGGAGTCAAACTGGAATCCTTGTTGCTAAGCGCGCACGCTCTAACCACTGAACCATCTGACTGGCCATCGGCAGCTCAGGGCAGCTCTGCTCAAGATGCAGTGTTCAGTTTTAGTTGTGGGTGGGCATAGCCCCATTCCATGTGAAAGTTGAACTGGCAACCTTGTTAAGAGCACGTTCTCTCACCAGCTGAGCCATCCTGTTGGCAGCTCAGCGCGGGGACAGCTCACTGGCCCATGTGGAAATCGAATTGGTGACCCTGTTGCTCAGAGCTCGTGCTCTTAACCCACTGAGCCACTCAGCTGGTCCATAAAAATGTGATACACACACACACACACACACACAATGGAATATTATTAGCCATAAAAAGGAAATCCTACCATTTGCAACAACATGGATGGACCTTAGGGGCATTGTGCTAAGTGAAATAAGTCAGGAAGACAAAATTGTATAATTTCATTTAAATGTGGAATAAAAAAAACCCCCCAAAACCCAAACTGAACTCATATATACAGAGAACAGATTGGTTGTTGCCACATGTGGGGTTTTGGGGATGGGAGAAATGGGTGAAGGGGTCAAAAGGTACAAACTTCCAGTTACAAGATAAGTCCTAGGGATGTTACATCATGGTGACTATAGTCAATAATACTGTATTATACTCAATAATACTGTATTATACATTTAAAAGTTGCTAAGGGAGCAGATCTTAAAACTTCTCATCACCAAAAAATATATGGTAACTGTTGTGATAATCATTTTGCAATATATATATAAATATCAAATCATTATATTGTACACCTAAAAGTAATACAATGTTATATGTCAATTATATCTCAAAAAAATTTTTTTTAAAAAGGCACTTAGAATCTTGAGGTGGGGAAGCACAAGATTTTTAGAGTATGAATTTTAAAGGTGACATAATAATAGTATTGTGTTGCAGAGTTCAAGTTTGGGAGAGAGTTCCAAGTTGAGACCATGATATACATTTTATCAAAAAATTAAAGAGAAAAGACTGAAAAGAATGTTGAATGTCTTTTGATATTGAATGTTTGGATTACCTAGATTATTTGGATTGAATATTGGATATTGGATTACCTTTAATAATATAGTTTCAGTAAAGTGTTGAGTTTTTTTAGTTTTGTGTAAAGTTAAAGAGAAGGTAGGCAATGGCTGTTTCAGAAAGACTATAATTGACATGAGACATAAACAAGATCCTGATTTTTGTTGACATTAGAGTATATGTGACTCTGAGATTGAAAAGTTGTAAGGCTAATAACATACAAAAACTAATCATTAGATTTGCAAATAATATATAGTTTATGGATATATTTATTCAAAAATTATATCTGAAATTCAAACTGAAAATTTAATGTTTTTTATATATGTATTTTATATCAAGGTTCCCAGACGTCAAGATGATGAGAGGAATAATATTTACTTGGAACTAATGCAAAATGACAATAACGAAAAATATCCTCTCTTCTTAGGGAGTGTTCAGGTACACCTTTATGATGTAATTCAGGTATGTGTCAAAATCATTTTCCACCTTGGTATCGCATTGTTCAGTTAATGTTCATTGTTACGATATATCTATGACTGATGGACTCCATTTGTTTATTATTTGCCTTCCAACTCATGTGCTTAGGAAACAATATCTCCCTCTAGCTATAAAAAAAAAAAGATTTGGTTTATAACAGCATAATGTTTTTGAAAATTTATTTTCTGGAAGAGCAGTGTTATAACCTAAAAGATTAAGCATATTTTATTATATTTTCTGAAACGTTTTAAAACAAGACTCAAGCCACAAACTCTGTCTCTTAGTTGGCAGCAGAAATTTCAGTTCTTTTGTCCTGAGTTGGGCTGTTTGCCCTCTGCCCCATGTATGTGTCATTTAGGGGTCAGCCAAAGTTTTTGGCAGAATTGATGCACAGATTTTTGTGGTTCCTTCTCTCTCTCTTTCTCCTTCCTCGGAGACTCCCCTGCCCTTTCCACAGCCATGGTTGCCCTGAACTCAGAGGAAGAAAACTAACTTGTTAGTGAATAAGTATGAACAATCTGAAGGATTTTTAGTAATATTTGTTAGGGCATAAAGCAAGAAAGCCCTCAGAGACTAATGGAGTTATGTCAAAAGACACAGCAGCCAGATTGCAGGGGTTCCTACTGGCCAATTTCAGGGTAATTCGAACATCAAAAAGGTCATTACAAATCCTGAATACAGAAAAATCTATGAATCCTTGGTGATTTTCGAAAAATAAAAAAAATAAAAGCATGGGAGAAAAAGGGAAGTTTCCTATTTTTAAGTAGAAGAATGATAAGTATAGAAGGAATGATGGAATTACAAATTCACCAGTTTTACAACTCTTTATAGTAAATAATAATTTAGTCAAGACTTAGCAATGTACTAAAAACATTAGGTAAAAGGTTATTAGGGAACGAGATATTTACATGGTGCCACAGTAATAGCCCATAGATTAGTTATTGCAAAGGGGAAAATGTGCCTATATAATAGAGAGATGTGATGGTTACCACTTTCATCAAGAGTTTGAACTTTGCATAAGTAACTGTGGACAACTTAACATCATGTACTTCTATGGGGGTACAATATGTACACACCATTACCTATGAATTATTCTCATAAAAAATGTTTAATTCAAGTATAATCAAGCTGAGTCTTTGGGGGATAGGGTAAAAGTTAAACAATACCATGATGCTATGATAAGGTAACTACATAATGTGAGACATATCAGCTTTGATTCCTTAAAAGTAAGAGCATTAAAAAAAAATGGAGAAACTGTTCTAGTATAAGAGATACAACAACTTTAAATGCAGGTTTGAAAAAGTTACAAAAGACATTCTTGGGACAATTAGGAAATTTTGAATGTATACTGAATATTAGATAAAATTCTAAAATTGTTAATTTTCTAAAGTATGATGCTGATATTATGGTTATGTAGAAGAATATCCGTATTTTTACAGTATGTAAAGTGGAGTTTTAACATTTCGGAGTGAAGGGACATGATGGCTGCAACTTATAAAAATGGTGCAGTAAATACACACTACACACACATACACACACACACACACAGACAAAACAAACATGGAAAATGTTAAAACAGTTTTAACACTTGTTAAACAAATGTTTGAACTTATTTAAGCTAGGTGGAGGGTATATGGGTACTTGTGTCTTTCGACTGATCTGTGTGTTTGAAAATTGTCATAATGAGGACTTGGGGAAGATCAGATAGCTTTCCAGTATATTAGCAAGAGGCAACAGGTGAAGAAGGAGAAAACATATTGACTAATGAATAAGAGTAAGCACTGGAAGATTCTCAGGAAAATTTGGGGAGAGGATTGTAGAAATGATGAAAATTCCTTCGTTATATGGCAATTTAGCATCATAAAAATGAGCATTAGTCACATTTTGTTTAAGTAGTAGAACATTTAGACTACATTTGTATGTGCAAACTTTTCAGTATTTATTTTTATGAGGGTAAATTTTTAAATGAAAAATAATGCCTACCATCCCACAATTTTCACACTGCATTTCATTTACCAGAATTTCCTTACAATTCTTTTTTATAAACAGAAGCAGAAAAATAGAAAATATAAAGAGAACCAAATGCAAATTCTAGAACTGAAAAATACAATATCTGAAATAAAACATTTATTTCATAGACTTTGCAGAATAGAAATGTCAGAGGAAAGACTTTTTTCCTCCTAATTTCTTTAAAACATATATCACTAAAACAAAAACGATTGTCTTGTGGGATTTATGTTTGTAGATGTAATGCATATGACAGCCATAGCAAAAGGATAGTGAGGGGAGCTGGGGCTTAAAGGGTGTATAAAATCGCAAGATTTTTGTAGTTTCCCTCTGATTATAATATCTTTCCAAACTGTAATACAGTATCACAACCAAGATAACAGAACATTTCTTTCTCTACGTGTTGCCTTTTTCCACACCTACCCCTCCTGAACCGTTGGCAACCACTAATCTATTCTTCATTTCTGCAATTTTCTCATTTCAAGGATGTTATATAAATGGAATCATACAGTATGTAACCTTTTAGGATTGCTTTTTTTCATCCATTTCCTGGATGAAAAAATTCTCTGGAGAATCACTCAGGTTGTTGCATGCATTGATAGCTTATTCCTTTTTAGTTGTCGGGTAGTAGTAGTCAGTGGTGTGAATGTACCAGTTTGTTTAATCATTTGCCCACTGGATGACATCTGAGTTGTTTCCAGTTTTGGGATGTTATGAATAAAGCTGCTATAAACATTCACGTACAGGATTTTGCAAGAACATATACATTTCTCGGGTTATTTCTGGGATGTAAGGTAGTTGCTTGTGCAGTTTTTAAAGATACGGCCAGACTGTTTTCCAGAGTGGCTGTGCCATTGTACATTCCCATGAGAAATGTGTGAATGATCCAGTTTCTGAGCATCCTCACCTGTATTGTCACTATTCTTTACTTCAGCCATTCTGATAGGTGTGTAGTATATCTCATTGTGGTATTGATTTGCAATTCCCTAGTAACTAATAATGTTGAACATGCTTTCATGAGGGCCTTTTAATTTGATTATCCCACTTTTCCTGAAGTGTTTACATAGGTACAAGAGGCATAGGCTGTTGCACAGGCTCTACCTCAACTTCACAGTAAAAGGTCAAGGGCAGTCCTGTTATCTAGGATGGTTCTAGTCAACAAGTTTGTGCTGATCTGTATGTTCTTCAAAGCTTGAGCTCCATCATTTGCTATTTGGGTCACATGCAGGGATAGGCTATCAACCGTTTGTTTCAGTTCTAGAACTGCTAGCCAGGGTCAAAATCCTCATGGAAACTGATAAAATCTAGTGCTTGGATGAGGCGGAAAGACCTGATGACCAGACCCAAACTGCATATCATGTTTGGAAGCATGGGAGGGCCATCTGATTGTACAGTTATCCTGCTGGTTATTCATGGAGAGGACACACAAGTAGTGTTTAAAACTGCCAATTAGTGTAATTGCTTTCTGAATGTAATTGGCCTGATTATGGAGGACAAAGACTTCAAGTTGAATTAAACAAATTACATAATTTTACATAGCTTAAAGAAACAGTTGGTTGTGGCTTGAATCATTAATCTCTGGTTCCTTCCTCTTCCCAATACATCTTGGTTCCTTTGAGGTTCTGAGAGAAACCAGACACATCAGCTAACTGTTAAGGCTTAGAGTCAATTAAGGCAAATAAGTATATTGGAGTTTATAATATTCCTGTATTGATAATAAAGAGAATGTGATTATTAATTTTGGGGTGAATGGTAGTACTATTTGTGTTTATTTCTTTGGCTATATGATCCTTACTAGATGAGCCTAGGACTAGGTGATAAATTCAACAGTTAGACAGATTGGTAGCCACTGTAATTATTTGAGAAAGACAATAGAGAATTCTAAGGCATAGAAAAGATTGTTAGAGTAATGCTCCCTACAGAATCATACCTCTCTGTAGCCATACTTTTGAGTAGTGTACAGTTTTACCTCCCCTCCTAGGTTTAGCCATGCAACTTGCTTTGGGCAGAGCAGAGCCAAATTCAGGACAGGGAGCCAAAAAGCTCATTGCCACATGTTGAAACTCATCAGAGGATCTGAGTGAAGCCAAGCCTAAATCTCAGTGGATTCGGATGAGATGCACATTCAGGATGAATATTTCAGTTGGCTCCCGTGAAGACTCAGTTGGGCAGATCTGAGTGGGACCTCCAGAAACAACTTAAATAAATTTACCATAGTTAAAAGTATGACTGAAAGTTTACTTTTATATAAGGGAGGTGAATCAATAGGATGAGATCTATGATCAAAAGAAGAGACAGTTTATAAAAGAGAAGAAGAAGAAAAAGGCAGTCTTAGATGTTTCCCCACTCCCCAGTTTGGAAAAGGGAAGCTATCAAGAGCAAGATGCTATAAAGAGCAGGTTGAAGGGTCATTAAAGAAATCAGTTTAAGTTATTTATGAATTTCCTGAGAAATCTTATGATATTATATGAAGAACTTACAGCATGCCCTTGAGTAATGTAATTTTGTTATAAACATTGATGAGACGCCATAGGAACTTAATTAACTCTTGTTTATATCAGTTAGCCTATGGTATCGGTGGTATCTGTTATACATCATTTTGCTTGAAGTCCCAGAACCTATCAACTATGTTGAGTGAAGACTTACTGTTTATGATAAGCTAATTCTGTGTGATGTCTGCCATGGTAACCACCTGTTATTTCACTCATAATGTCTCATCAGGAACTGTTGAATAGGTTCTTGCGGATTGTTAGGTTTTGGGAGTGCAAAACATGTGTGAACCAGGTGCCAGACTTCACTAAATGAAAATGTCTGAAAGACAAGCCAGATAGCAGGAGGCCTAAAAGAGGAAAACCGTACGTGGACGGGATAGGAGGAGGTGTAGAGACTGTTACTCTACCTCCTGACCCTGAGGTGTGTGAACCTTCACTTGAGGGAGGGGGAAGCAGCATCCTTAGGGGTGAGCAAAGTCTCAGGTAAAGCAAAGGGGAATGTTTAGTGGAGCAGATAAAGATGCAAGGTTGTTTGTTAATCATGGAATGGGAATTCCATGAGCCACAATGGAAAATGCTGGGAAGAAAGGGAACCATGGGATTTTGGATTAGGTAGAACTGATAGCACAGCAGAGATGACCAGATATGGTGACCAGGGATACCAAAGGTTTACCTGGTTAAAAAGACCCCAGTAGTCCCTGAGAGATGAGACAAGCACTCAGTTCTGTCATGAGTCAGCTTATCATGTAGATTTATGTTGAAGTGACCCTTCAAAAGGAGTGTAGGCAAGGGAGTTCCTCTAGGACTTCCAAACAGGGGAACTATAACTAGCAGGAACATTTTTGTCTAAAACATAAATGTAAATATTAACATTTATTTTTGGTACAACCTGGAATTTTTATTCTCTTCCAGCCATTCATTATATTTGTATTTTCGCTATTAAATTAATATGTGTATTAAAAATCATTACCTGATTTTTTAAATTTATGCAATGGTTTAGATTATATATAGGCGACTACATGAGTGAATCTATATTTTAGAATTTTATTATTTGTCACTTTTTCTAGAAAGGATGCTTTACTGAAGAATTTCAAATGTTGAATAAAAGCACAGTAAGAACTTTATTGAAATTTCCAAAGTTTTGTGCACACACTTAACATTTCATGTAACTTGACCCTGATACTGTTTGTAGCCTCTGATATTGTTTTTTATTCTTTTGTTACGCTACTAGTCACTGTTTTAATTAATGGAAATGTATTACATAGAAAGTACAATATTTGCTCGCAAAAATCTTCATCTCCACTTTTTTTTTAATGCTGCTATCTTACTGTAAAACAGTGAACAAGAAAATTAGAAAATATTGGGTAAGAGAGTAAAATGCCTCTAGCTGCTTTTTTGATGGCATAGCCTTAGGAGCCTCACTTGCTGAATTGAGAGAATATTATTTTTCTCCTTGAGGAGTTTCTAAAGAGTTATTTATAGTTCCTACTTCAATTTCTTTTTAAGTACTTACAAATGATTATTTTGATTAATTGATCTATTCAGAGAAGCTTCTGCTGCCAAGAGCCAAGGAACATAAAAAACAGAATGATGGACATTTGAAGTCAGAACCTCTGGCACCCCACTTCATTTCACATATGAGCAAGCTGGGTTCAGAGAGATGAAATAACTTGTCTATATCAAAATATTATCTGAAAATGGAAGTGGAGGTGGGAGAAGTGTGAGTAAATAGTTTAAAAAATATATACATGTACAGTAATACCTTAGTTTGCAAGCATAATTCACTTTGGAAACAAACTACTTGTATTGTAAGACATCGCTCATTTACCAAGTTAAAATGTATTAGAAATGTTTGCTTGTCTTGTGGAACACTCGCAAACCACGTTACTCGCAATCCAAGGTTTTACTGTATATGAATATATATCAGCATAATCCTATTAACAACTGTAAATTGATATTCTTTATATTTCAGTCATATAATATTCCTTAACTTTAACATAAACGTTTTTAACATTTCGGGAACTTTATAGATTCTGCTATAGGAGTTCCTTGTATAAATATTTGTTTGTTTTTTAAATCTGGAGAGTCATGCTTTGTTTTTCTAACTTAAAGATTTGTGAAGTAAAAATATCACTTGTTAGCACATCTCCATTAAAATATCTTTCCGATCAAAGAGTAAAATAAATTTGCCATATGTTTAGTTTATCTGCAGGGTGGAGGTAGAATTTATGTTCTCCTATGGAAACTTTGGTTATGGATTTTCACATCAGGTTAGTTCTCCTTTTAAAAATTATTCTACTGCTACTCTTTAGTCAAATCATCCTTTTCTGAGCCTCTATCCTTTCCAGTTTGATAAATTCTTTAAAATAAATATTTTTAAAAGAATGCTGTTTTTCTCCAACCTAAAGAAAAATTAAACTTTCCCATTATTTTCTTATCCATTGAAAAATAATGATCTTTTATTTAGAATGTCTTTATTATAAAACTTGCTCTTGTCTTTGTGTGTGTGTGTGTGTGTGTGTGTGTGTGTACACCCACTTATGTTAATTGAAAACAAAATTATTTAACTATTCAAGAAGTGAGTGTGGATTTTTATATCTAAAAGTATTTATTAAAAATGGAGTCATTATGTTATTCAGATAACATTTTGTATTCTGATCACACATGCTTTTTTCCCCCATGGTTGTTTCAACATCTGGTGTTGTTTGTATCCCCCTTTATTCATCAAGAAAGTAATATGCCCAAAGAAGATATCTTCTTAGCTTTAGCCTGAACCTTTAAATTCACTACATATATCCATGTGGCAGTATAAGAGTTTATACATTAACCTATGTCCTTTTCTTTCATGATGTCCTTAGGTTAGATTCCTAGAGTAGAAATTATTGTCCAAAACAATGAACTTGTTTCAAAGAATTGTTCTAGACAAGGTGTACCAACATATATTCTCACCAAGTGTTTGAAAGAATTCTTGATATCCCTGGATATCATTATCCAAGAATTCTTGATATCCATTATCAGAGCTTTGGCGCATTTATAAATCCAGTCCCATTAGCGATGCTGTTATATAAGGGAAATGACCCCTATAATCTTTCATTTTTAGTTTTTGCTATTTTTTTATAATCTTGGTTGTTTTTAAATTATCAATTGAGAATGCATACAGTCTTATTAAAAAGTCTACCACTTTGTTAACTGAGAAATCTCTGTAAAATGTGTTTTAAAATTTTGCCTATGGTATCTCATAATATTTTTAATATATTTTGAGTCAGAGGTAAGTAATATAGAAATAAAAGCCACTAGGCACAGGCTTTCGTTTTTCTCTGCTTTGACTTTTCTTTCTTTTCTTTCTGGCTATTATATTTTCTTATCATGAATTAGGCCTTACAGAAGCCTCTAATCGTTTAGTCCTTTTTGTGACAGTCATAATTTATGAGCACTAACTTTAGAGGTAGGTTTTGTGTCTGTATATAAATATAACATGTAACAATCCCCATTCGTAGGGAGCTATATCCTTTTCAAATAAAACTGGGCAAGTATTGTTTTATGTAGGTGGACTCTACTACAAACAAGGAACCGAAGGTATTGTGTGGAAAAGGGTGGGAAATACAGGGCCGGTCGAGTGGCTCAGTTGGTTAAGAGCTTACTCAAGAATGTGAGCTCTGAGCAACAGCAGTTTGAGTCCTGGCCTGAGCTGAGCTGCCGCTGAGCTGCCGCTGAGCTGCCGCTGAGCTGCCGCTGAGCTGCCAACAGGTGGCAGAATGGCTGAGCTAAAAAAAAAAAAAAAATGGGAATTATAAAAAAAGTTCAACTTGAGTTTATGTCAAAGACCTTTTCAGTAATATAGTCCCCTACTTACCTGTCATGATAATGTAAAAAAGAGTACTTCATTGAGGGCAAATAAAGCTGTATTCAAATCCTGGTTCTCATATCTATTGGTTAACCTTGAACCAATTACTGATTTTCAGTATTATCTGTAAAATAGGCACAGTTTTCTACCTCATAGGATTATTGAGAGGATTAAATAATATTAAAGATGTAAAATTCTTTGCAGATATTTAGTACTCAATAAATATTAGTTCTTTCCTCCACTCTTAATTCCTTTTCTCCTTATATGAATTATTTAAGGTTTATTTAGTAGTCCTGGAACATATGTAAACAATGTTAAAATATACTTACCATTTTCATCAGTTAAAATCTCTTCAGAAAATTATTGAACCATCCATGTTTATGAATGTTGCACCACCTGCAGAAAGAACAGACCCTGTGACGTAAGTGTTTGAAGCCTTATTAACACAGTCAGATCGTGTGGCACTTAAAACATTTAGGCCTTTTGACATAGCATTGTTGTAGTATTAAGACAGCCAGAATGGGTCAGACTCCAAGGTAAAGAGAACAGTGAAGTGTTTTACTTAAAAAGAAGGGAGAAATTTTGAGTTTCTGGGTAGAGCCCTGGAGAGAGGAGGTATGGAGGTGTGGAGATAAGCAAAAGTAAAGACAGGGCGCCAACTTCATGGCTGAAGGAGGGAAGGGAGCGGTAGTCTGATGAGGAAAGTCAGCCAGTGGGATATTCCTCTTGTAGAAAGAAGTGAGGGACTTTTAAGAATAAAGTGTCTACTAGTTTTTAGTTTTCTGTTCTGCAGCACAGTAGCGTTACCCCCACTTCTATACACTTCAATTGTTACTTCTAAATCTTTAGCAAAAAGTCTATTTATGGTAAAAAATATGTCATTAGCAAATAAAAAATAACTTAAAATATAGTATGTCAACCAGTCTTGAAATTTCAACAGTTAAAACAGATCAAAATAAAATGAGCAGCTGAGAGAGATTTAATCTATAGTTCTAAGAATAAGAAATGGAAAATTTCTAAACAGGACTGAGGGAATTAGGTATAGGATGGGAAGTTACATTCTGAAGTGTTCATTGTCCTAAATAGTCTTACCAACACTGGGTATTATCATTAAAAATAAATTTTGTTCATTTGATATGGTGATTTGTTGAAATAGTAATGTTTATTGATTGTTATTTCCTTATCCATTCATTTATTTATTCAATAAACATTTATTGAATGTATGCTATACCCTCAAGACATTGCAAATACAGATAAATGAGGCCTGGTCCCTGCCCTAAAGTAGCTTATGGTTTAATGCAAACGTAAATTGAAAAAATACTATATATAATATATAATACAAAATGGGATATGAGCCCTCTAGAGATAAACATAAAGAACTATTGGACATAGCCAAGGAACTGTTCGTACTTCTTAGGGGAGTTAGAAAGAAAGTACTATCAAGAAAGGCTCCACAAAAGAAACAGTGTATGAAGTAAAACTTGAAAACTGAGCAGTAGTGCATTGGGTTGACTCTGTAAGGGCGAGGAAACACATTCTCCAAAGAGGACACATATGTAAAAAGCCATAAGAGACTATGTTGTATTGGAGAACCAATACAGTGAGTAGTTACATGTGAGTGGCTAAGAGCATAGGAGCAAGGCAGGGAGCAATGGAAGATGAGCTGGAGCAGTCAGCAGGGTATGGTGGTTAAGAGTTTAGGCTCTAGATCCAGACTGTATGAACTTACACCTTGGCTCTGCCATGTACTAGCCATGTGACCTTGCGCAAGTTACTTAGGCTCTTTGTGCTTCATCAGTTGGATGGGATGCAAATAATAACTACCCAGCTGAGTTACTGTGATGATTAAATAAGTTGTATATAAAGCACTTAGAACATGGCAGCAAATTATAAAATGCTTAGTTAGTTGTTAGACACTTACTAAAGTAATAAATATTTTATCATCGCCATCATCATTATTATAGGTTTTTGCTTCTCAAATGTGAGTAAATTTTATGTTTTGAATACTCAGGAATGTGTCAGGGTAAAACAAAGATACTGGGAAAAATGGTCAATCTTTCTGGAGTATTACTTTATTCAAAATTTTTGAGAGGGAAAATGTTATATTAAAATTAACATCTATGTGTTATGAAATAGAATTTTAAAATTACATACATTTTTAAGATGATAAAATACTTCCAATACATGATGTGTTTATGTCTAACTGCATTAAGTTACACCTCCAGAGACCTTCACTGTCCTCTACCCATAAGAGTTCTTTATTGGAAAAGTTTGGAGGTGCCACAGGAGATATATGTGTAGAACCATTGAAGAACTTTAAGTGGGGGAAATACCATGATCAACTTACATTTTATAATGATTATATCAACAGGATTGAATGTGGACAGAAAGGGTTTAGGATTGGAGGAAGCTGTTGTATTAGTCTACATGAGAGATAATGACAATCTGAACTAAGGAAGTGGCTTAGTGGGTGTGACAGGTAATTTTACATGTGAACTTGACTGGGCCATGGGGTACCCAGATATTTGGTTAAACATTATTCTGAATGTTTCTGTGAGGGTGTTTTTGGATGAGATTAACATTTAAATCAGTAGACTTAAGCAGATTGCACTCCCTAATGCAGGTGGCCTTCATCCAATCAATTGAAGGCTTGAATAGAACAAAACAACCTGACCTTCCCCCAAGAAAGAGAATTCCTCCTGCCTGACTGCCTTTGAACTGGAACATTGGCTTTTTCCTGCCTTCAGACCCAAATGGAAAGAAACATTGTCTGTTCCTAGATCTCGAGCCTATAGACCTTAGGATGGAACTACACAATTCACTCTCCTGGGTCTCCAGCTTGCCAGTTCATCCTGCAAATCTTGAGACTTGTTAGCCTTCATAATCAAATTAGCCAATTCCCTATAATAAATCAATGTCTCATCTTATTGGTTCTGTTTCTCTGGACAACCCTGACTAATATAGGTTTTCATAGTGAGAGTGGCCTAGAGGAACAGAATATTAAGGAAGAGTTTTTTGAATTTGTTCTGTTCTTTCTGGAATTGGCTCTTTAATCCAATTGGATTTAAAAACTCTAATGACTCCATTTCCAGTAGTAAAAAAGAGCACTGATAGTCCATGGCATAATCTGGCAATAGAGATATGCCAAATATCACCATTGGGTACTCCTAATTAACCATTGATAAGGAGCAAAGACCTGGATGACTGTGTATATGAAACTTTCAAACATTTTTGTCAAACTAATGAATATAATGATGATGTTGGCTGGATACTCCTAATGTTGCTGGACAAAGTTGAAAAATAAAAGGATGAGTTCAAGGATTCAAATTCCTAGCTCAAGCATTACATAAATGACCGGAAATAATCTATGTGTGCCCTGAAGGAGACCCTTATCTCCTTTCCCATCCCTGCCGCCATGATCTTAGTAGTAAGAGTACTCAAAAGAGTAGTTCTCTCAGGATTTCTGACTTCTGTCTTCTTTCCTAACTCTGTTCTTTGGTTGTCCAAGGTGGATAGGTGAACTTACAGTGTAAAAAAAAGAGAATGATTCCAAAGTGATAGCTACCACGGGTTTTAGAAGTGTACTTTTGTACAATTTCAATATTTAACTTTATTACCATTTTGCAGAAATGTTATTATACCACAGACAGTAGAATATCCAGCATTCTTATCCCCAGACCTGAACGTTACTGTTGGGATGCCAATTTCAGCGTCCCAGTCCCACGAGCCTCCTGTAGTGCGATTTACAAAACTTCAGCAACAACCTCGGGAAAGGTAAAAAACAACATTTTAAAATCTTATTCATGTGTTATTTATATATTAATTTTTTCCTTTGAGACATGGGCTTGGTATTGGCCCAGAATCTTTTCATCATGGTGATATTTCACAGGTTCAGAAGTTATTCCTGAGTTTTGGTTATCATATTTAGGCACTTGTCTTTAAAAGTCAGTGCTATGGCAGAAAAGAGGTGAGAACTCATTTATAAGGTAGCATCAATCTGAATAAAGAGGTAAACAGGGGCAATCTGAAAATTGTCAAAAAGATGAGATTATTCATGAATAGCAGAGGAATTGCAATTCAGGACATGTAAATTGTAACAAGCTACAGACAAGTCCGCTGAGGGCTTAGGGTAGGCTGTATTTACAGGCAAGGAATGTAAAGGGAGGAAAGTTCATTTGGAGTCTTAAAATAAAAAATAAATGGATACCAGCTTTGAAAATTCCCCAAGCAGACAAAACCAGTAGCCAGTCATACAAACAAAGCTCAATTCAGCTCATTTTGCAAGACCAACTGGACTTGGGTCATTTCTTGTTCATGATCTGGAAACCATAAGGAAAACTTCCCAAGGCTGATATGAGGCCTGACCAATTCCCTATCATTTAAGAAAATTCCAGTATTTTCAGTTTGCTGATAATTTATGGGAAATCAATTTTCAGTCCTTAAGTTTTGTTTTTCTGAGGGCATATGCATGAGATTTTCCATTTGACATCCTCAAGTTCCATTTTAGATTGAAATTATTTAACAAGAGAAAGTATGTTTTATTTCCATATTAATTTGTCTCAAGATATTTTTTATTTTCCTTTTGAGTGCTTTGATCTCCTGATTATTCAGTAGTATGTTGTTTAATCTCCACATATTTGTGAAATTTCCAGTTTCCTCTTACAGTTGATTTCTAGTTTTATAGCATTGTGGTCAGAAACGATGCTTAATATTATTCCAGTCTTCTTAAATTTGTTAAAGACTTGTATTGTGGCCTAACACATGATCTACGAGGTCGGACAATTAAGTTTGTGAACTCATCCTAGAAAAAGTGCTGCATACCTCATTGCTTAATATCACTACAGTCACCTTGGAAGTACTCCCCTTGGGAAGCTATGCACTGATGCCAGCACCTAGTCCACCCTTCAAAGCAATTTTGGAACTCTTATTCTGGAATGGCCATCAGAGCTGTCATAGTATTACCCTTGATGTCCTAAATGTCATCAAAATGTCTTCCTTTCAATATTTCCTGTATCTTTGGGTAAAAAAAGAAGTCATTGGGGGCAAGATGAGGAGAATAGGGAGGGTGTTCCAATACAGTTATTTGTTTACTGGCTGAAAACTCCCTCCCAGACAGTGCTGTGTGAGCTGGTGCATTGTCATGATGCAAGAGCCATAAATTGTTGGTGAAAAGTTCAGGTCGTCTAACTTTTTCATGTAGCCTTTTCAGCAGTTCCAAATAGTAAACCTAGTCTGCTCTTGAACCACTCACTCTATTGAATTTTTCAGTTCAGTTATTGTATTCTGTAGTTCTGTGATTTCTGTTTGGCACTTTCTTATATTTTCATCCTTTTGAAATTCTCACTTTGTTCATGCATTTTTCTCCTGACCTCTATGAGCATCTTTATGACCATTATTTTGAACTCTTTATCAGGTAAATCACTTATCTCTGTTTAGTTAAGTTCCGTTTCTGGAGCTTTATCTTGTTGTTTTGTTTGGAACTTGTTCTCTTTCTTCATTTTCCTTGACTCTGTTGGTTTCTGAGGCTTGGATAAAACAGCCACCTCTCCTGCTCTTGATGGAGCAGTCTCCTGTAGGAAATGAACTTTATCGATTGGCTCAGCCCAAACTCTTAGTTGTTCTCAAACCTTTGTGATCCTTTTTTTTTTTTTTAAGATTTTATTGGGGAATTGGGGAAGGGGAACAGCCAAGTTGTTGTCCTTCAATCTTAGTTGTGGAGGGTGCAGCTAGCTCAGCTCCAAGTCCAGTCACCATCCAGCCACCCGTCGGCAGCTCAGCTCAGGTGCAGCTCACTGGCCCATGTGGGAATCGAACTGGTGACCCTGTTGCTCAGAGCTTGTGTTCTTAACAAACTGAGCTGCTCCGCTGGCCCCTTTGTGATTCTTGAAGCCACCTTCTTTGTTCTTAGTGGCTCCCAGTAAGTAGTTGGGGGTGTGTCAAGACCTGTTAGTCTCCCAAAAGGGAGGCTCTCTGTCAGCACCTAGATTCAGATTGATTGGAAGCTGGACACTAAGGCAGCTACTGGGAAAGTATGTAGTTAAAGCTCTTCCAGGAAGATGGGCTTTTTTTGCCTGTTTCCTTTGTGCTGAGCCTGGGTATATCCCACGGAACTGGGAATTCTCCTGCACCCATTAAGAACTGCTTCTTTGTGTGCTGCAGTCCTGTGGGACTGGTAAATGTAAGCCCCACTGCCTATGACAGCCAGGCAATCCAGGGGCCTATTCCTTCAGTGGCAGCCACAAAATCTGGGGCGCCAGATGTGTGTACAATCTCGTTCCAGGGAGATTCTACTGGTGATTTGGATTGAGCTAGAGGGAGAAGGTAGAGATGTGTCTGCTGGCTTCCCTAGCTTCTAGGGAAGATTGCAGTCAGCTCCTAGGTGCATGCTGAATTAGAAGCTTGACCCCCCCACACCCACACCCCACCCCCTGGGCGGAAAGCCGTGGAAAGTCCTACTGAGCTCTTTAAGAACTATTTCTTTTTTGTTATAGCCTTGTGGATCACATGTTTGCAAGCTGTGTTAGCTTTCAGAGCTAGGTATTTGGGTGGTCTGTCCCTCAGGTGAGAATCTTGAAAGTTGGGGCACTCAGTGGGGGGATCTAAACCTTTTTCTTCTCAGGGAGATGCTGGGGTTTGAGAATTCTTTCCCAATTGTGTGGTGCTGTGCCGGGGTGAAGTTTATGGTGAGAGTGTGTCTCAATCTTTACCCATTTTCATGTGGGTATTTTCTCATTTGCCCAATGTATTGGAGTTGCTTAGCTAGTTTCTGGATTTCTTTCAGGGAATTGTCCCTTTTTAGCTGTAGATTTGGTGTGTCTATGGGAGGAGGTGAGTTCAGGAGCCTTCTCACTGTCTTGGACTGGAATCTGCAAATTTCTCTAATATCTAGGCTTAATAAAACAACTGGATTCTTATAATTAGTTCTCCATTCAAACCAAGTGTCTCCCCAAGCTCCACCTGCAGAACTGTGATGTGTCTGGCTCACAGTGACAGCGGTGGTTGCTGCTCTGCTTTATGTTGAGTAGCAGCACCATGTGACCGCCTTCTTCCTAGCAGAATGGGTCCCACAGAATCGTCTTCCTCCTCTGCTACTGGATCACATGTATCTTTGTTTTATGCTTTCATAATGTAGGGATGTTATCCTGCTCCTATTCTCTTTATTTTTATAAATACTTTGGAATTTGGCCCTGATAGCTCTCTGTTGCTCAGTTTTATATGAAATTGGTTTCTTGAGTTTTTTTAATAGAAGACTTGGTTTAGAAAGCTTTCCTAGCTTCACAGAGCTCCCACTTCTGATATTTTCATTTGGTGTTTAAAAAATAATGACATGAGGGCCGGCCGAGTGGCGCGATGGTTAAGAACTGGCTTGGGACGCCAGAGGGCCCCGGTTCGGATCCCACATATGAGGGCCAGTGACACTGCCCTCTACAGCTAAGATGCTGAACAACAGCTCAACCTGGAGCCGGGCTGCCGTGAGTCGCCGGCAACACGTAGGCTGCAGCCCCTGTGGCAGTGGGTTGCCATGGGCTACCGTGTGTAGCCAGCAGCCAGCAGCCAGCGTGAGTGGCCAGCAGCTGCAGTGAACGGCCGTCCAGAAGCTGGCGACTGATCTGCCTTGCCCAGGGAGAGCGCAATGATGGTGCCAACTTGGGCCAGTGAAGCAACGTCCTCCACAACTAGACTGAAGAACAAAAAGACAGCAACTTGTCTGTTCCCCTTCCCCCAATTCCCCAATAAAAAAAATCTAAAAAAAAAAATAATAATAATAATGACATGATTTATAAGATTATCTTGGGCCCTATACTAGAATAGAGACCTGGCTGGTCAGCTTTGAGCATTCACAGTGGTTACACTGTTTCAGTCCTTTTAGCTCTTACCATGAATCCTTTGTATTTACCCACTTTTTTTAACTGAGCAAAACCCTCCCAGTTTCAACTGCTATTCTTAAATTGGCCAGCTGTGCTGCCCTGTGACTACCTGTGGGCTATTTGGGGTTCTCTAATTCTCAGGTTTATCGGTTGCCCATTTTATGCCAGTTGCTTTCTCCCATATATACATTGATACTATGAAGGTCCTATGTACAACATATGTTTGGGGGTTCACAGGGATACCTTGTGACATGATTTTGTTGTAAATGTTGCCCATAAGTTTTTGGGTTTGCTACCTAGATACTCTGAATATTTTTATGTAGATATTTTGGAAGATTCAAAAACTGTGCTACCCCTGCTGCCATTATCTTCTTAGAATTTCTCTCTTTGGCTAAACTTTCATACTTACAATAATTTACCTTTGGGGGAATTTATTTAAACAATTATATCATCTACAAATAACAATTTTGTGTCTTTATTCCTAACTTTTACTCTTTAATTTTTTTTTATTTATTTTTTTTTGTCTTACTATAATAGCTAGAAGCCCCAGTCAATGTGTGATATAAATGTCAAGGGTGGATATCTTTGTTTCATTTATGATTTTTAAAGACAATGCTTCCAGCATTTAACAGTCAAGAACATTATTTATATAGGTTTTTTGGTAGATATCATCCTATACCAGCTTCAGTAAATTCTTTCATTCTGTTCCTAGTTTTCTAAGAATTTTTTATTGTAACCATGAATGGATGTTGGATTTTGCCAAATGCTTTTTCTCTTTAAATCAATTAAATTGTATTTAAATTATGTTTTCTAATGTTAATGTCAAAATATCCTTGTATTCCTAGGATAAGTTTGTTCATGGTACATTATCTGTATAATATTGAACTTTTTATACTAAAATTATGTTATTTGTAACATTTGCATCTATTTTTATGAATGAGATTAGACTAGTTTTCCTTTTTTTGTAATGTTCTTATTAGGGTTTTATACCAAGTTCATACCATAGTATCCTCATAAAATGAATTAGGAAACATTCCCTCTTTTCCATTTAATTCTTCTTAGTTATATATTTAGATTATTAAAGCCTTTTGGATTAGAAGCTTATTTCTTGGATTAGAAGCTAAATCCCTATTTTTTTCATTTGTTTTACTGTTTAAGATATCATATGTATATTGAATAATTTATAAAATATGTATATATAGTTTAAGTAATGAGACCAATATATATTGAATAATTTCTAAAACATGTATGTATAGCTTAAATAAAGATAAGACGATTGCCTAGATATTTACAATTCAGGTTAAGAAATACAATATCCCCAATATTAGAAATGTGTTTTGTGTATCCTTATAAGATTACACCCCTCTTCCCAGCCCTCCCCAGGTAACTACTACCCTGTTTTTTTATTTAATCATTTATTTTCCTTTGACTGTATCCTTAAAAAATATATTGTTGTTTTGCCTCTTTTAAAACTTGTAAAAATGGATCATACTGTATGCATTCTTTTGTGAATCTACCATATATATTCTTTTGTCACTTGCTTTTTAGAACTTTAACTCTATGATTTCTTTCTTTAGGTTGGTAAAAATGAAAAAAGAATATAGAGATTTGAGTACATGGGGAGAAAAAGCTACATATTTAGAAAGAATTCTTAACCCAAAATTGGAATATAATCAACCAAAGGTAATTAACATAATACATTCTCCCAAATATAGATTTTAATGCTTCTTACTAAAAAAAGCTTATAATAATTAAAAATGATAATCACGTATTACTTATGTTCTTGATATGTAAAATGTTTTCATGGCTCATGCACTTCACTATTTTGATAATGTGACATTCAATAAATATTGATTAATAATTTATAAGGTTTACTTTTTAACACTTTGTTGAGATATAATTTATATACCATACAATTTACCCATTTAAAGTGTTCAATTCAGTGGTTCTTAGTACATTCAGAGTAGTGTGCCCATTGCTACAATTAATTTTAGAACATTCTCATTACCTCCAAAAGAAACCCTTTAGGCTATACCCTTCAAATCCCCATTCCCCTCTAGCCCTAGGCAATAATGAATCTACTTTTTGTCTCTATAGATTTGCTTTTTCTAGACATTTAATATAAATGAAATCATGCAATATATGGTCCTTTGTGACTTGCTTCTTTCACTTAACATAATGTTTTCAAGGTTCATCCTTGTTATAGCATGTATCAATACTTCATTTCTTTCTTTAAAAAAAAAATTGGGGAATTGGGGAAGGGGAACAACCAAGTTGTTGTCCTTCGATCTTAGTTGTGGAGGGTGCAGCAAATTCAGCTCCAAGTCCAGTCGCGCCGCTCAGCTCAAGGTGTTGTGTTCAATTAGTTGCGGATGGGCGTAGCCACCATCCCATGCAGGAGTCGAACCCGTAGCCTTGTTGTTAAGAGTGCACGCTCTATCCCCTGAGCCACCAAAGCAGCAGCTCAGCCCAAGGTGCCGAATTCAGTCTTTAGTTGTGGGTGGGTGTAGCCACCATCTCAAACAGGCAACTTCATTGTTAGGAGCATGTGCTCTCACCAGCTGAGCCGTCCTGCCACCTGTTGGCAGCTCAGCAGCAGCTCAGCTCGGGCACAGCTCACTGGCCCATGTGGGAATCAAACCGGCAACGCTGTTGCTCAGAACTTGCACTCTTGAGCAAGCTCTTAACCAACTGAGCCACTCGGCCAGCCCAATACTTCATTTCTTTTTATTGCCAAATATTCCAGTCTGTAGATATGCCACATTTTATTTATCCATTCATCAGTTGATAGACACTTGGGGTGTTTTCACTTTGTACCTATTATGAATAATGCTATGAACATTCATGTGCAGGTTTTTATATGAGCATGTTTTTAATTTTGGGATGTATATACCTAGGAGTGGAATTGCTGGATCATATAGTAATTCCCTGTTTAACTTTTTTAGGAATTGCCAAATTGTTTTCAATAGCAGCTGCACAATTTTACGTTCAACCAGCAATGTATGAGGGTCCCACATCTTCTCTACCACTTGTTATTTTCCTTTTTTTAAAAAAAAATATAGCCATGCTAGTGGGTTTGAAGTGGTTTGGTTTGCATTTCTCTAATGACCAATGATGTGAGCATCTTATCATGTGCTTACTGGCCATTTGTATATCTTCTTTAGATAAATGCTTATTCAAATCCTTTGTTGATTCTTTAATTGGGTTATTTGTATTTTTATTGTTGAGTTATTAATATAAGAGTTCTTTGTATATTTTAGATGCTAGACCCTAATCAGATATATAAGTAAGGTTTAAATATGTAGAAATGCAATCTAACCTATACATTTTGACCTGGAAATAAAGGATTCATATGGATTTCACTGGGTAGATAAAACATTGACTAAGATCATAGCCTTGAAATCGTAGATATATTGATATATTAATAATTTCCAATGCCTCTGCGATAATTGGGCCAAGTTATGCTGCTATAGGATAAATTGATTAACATTTGCTAGTACAGAATTGGTAGTTTAGGGTAAATTTTTGCAGGTTCTTCATTAAAGGGATTATGGACTTTGGGTTCTTATTGAAAGATCAGTATTTTATAAGAGCCAGTAATCACTCTACCTTATAATTCTTCTTGGAATTTTGTAAAGAGCCACACCATTTAACTCATAGGCCATGACATATTCCAATAGAAAACTAATCTGTTTCCTGGGGGTATCTCCTCTTATATTCCTTGAAGTTACATTATGATTTATCTAGTAATCCTATTCTCTCGTACATTCATCATTCAAATACCCTATCAATTCTTGGATATCCTTTCCCTGGATGTAACTTTCTGTAAAATAGAGCTGTTTGATTTGCTTTTCTCACAAACCCATATCTTTGTTGTCTTCTATAAATTAAAAAAATGTATTAGAAGTTATGTTTTAGTTCTTTAAACATTTCTTCAATACTATATTTCTTTCTTTTTTTATGTGTTTGCTTCTAGGGAAGTAATACCAATGAGGTACTTGAAAGCCAATTTGAAAAGAAGCCTGAAGATATTGTAACATCAGGTTAAGGAACTAATTTATTTTTGTATTTATTATTAAGATAATTAAAAACAGGGTGGTTACATAACAAACAGAAAATTAGTCATTTGCTTTAAGTGGATTTCTTTTTTTTTTTTTGGTTAGGGATGCATTTCGTTATAGTTTTGGTATATAGTATTTATTTTATAACACTCCAAAGAAAAGACTTAGACCTAATTCAGAGTTATTTTTTAATGCTCCTTTACTCCTTTAAGGACAAGGAAAAAGTTAAATATTAACCATGATCTATGAAAAGGTGTTTTTGTTAAACATTGTTAAGTAAAGCTATTTGTCTCTTTAACATGGAGGGTGTCTGTGTGTGTGTGTGTGTGTGTGTGTGTGTGTGTGTGTGTGTGTGTGTGTGTAGGGGGAGGAGAGAGAGAGAGACAGGAAATTAAGTTAACTACTGTTCATGCAATCTTTAAAAAAAATTATTCTGTTAAAAGAGTCATTTAAAAGTAAGTTCAAATAGATGCATAATACTATATCTTTAAACTCTTGGATTCTGAAGATATGGAATAATGATTTATTGTGATAAGACTTTTACCACAGTTTCCTTTTCTACTTCCCTGGCTACCAAAGGCTTTGATATATTCCTTTCCTAACCTCTGAGAATCAACCAGGCTAGCAGAGCTATTGCATCTTTAGCCCACCCTTCACCTGAAACATTCAAGTGTTAGGTGTAGGAGAATCATGTTTCCCTCTTCGATATCACTGTTGAAGACAGGAGCTTAACCTCTCTCACTCACTGGTGATGGCCACCTTTTCCTTTTTTAATTTACTTTTTCCCACTTACCTAAAGAGTTTATTTCAAGTCCCATTGGATCATCTAGTAGCTTCTTTCCTATTGGTATTTCTAAAGCTTCCAATAGTATAGTTAAAATTTATTGATCACAGTGTTCCAGGCACTTTGCTTGGGTTATATAAATCAGTCCTCACAGTAATCAATTGAAGGCATTATTACTATTAATCCACATTTTCACAGATGAGAAAACTGAGGATCAAACCAATCAGAGGTCACACAGCCATTAAATGATAGAGGTTGAATTTGAAACTATTTGACCCAAGAGCTCAAGCATTTAACCATATTGCCGCTTACATCTTATATATACTTGTATCATATCTATAACATATGCTATCATTATCCTACTTTACATATGAGAAAATCAAGGCTCAGAGAAATGAGCTGACCACAGTCATGCAGCTAGTGGTTACCATATAAATGCTTTTACTAGACTTATGCATTTCTTTGTATCTCAATTCTTGATTCCCCTTTCTCCTTTTTATGTTTTTCTTTTCTACTTGCTAAGTATGCATTCTTTATATTTCTAGGGATATTTTACAAGTGCTTCAGTCAATCTCTCTCGAATTGTCCTTTTTTCACTGGTTACATAAACTTTATTTTACTCTCTTTTTCTAATCCCAACCCTATCGCTGACCATCTGGGATTTATTTCATCTTATTTTAATAAAATATACTGTATACTTGTTTTTATGTCTTATATCAATGGATATGAAATCTTACCACTTTACGTTTTCATTTTATTTCCACACTTGTGCATTTACCACTCCCCCATCTTCCCAGAGACTCCTCAGTCTGCTTTGCTAAATAGTGTTTATGTTTGAGTAGCTGCTTTGATTTAAATTGTTATTTGTTCTTGGTGATAAAAACTATAATAATATTTTATTAGTGTACATACATATAAATAATGTGCTTATTGTTTTATATATAATAAAATACTTCTATTAATTTATTAATAGATATCTCTCTTACAAAGGAGGGAGCTGAAACTATTCCAAGTGAGGTAAGGGAACTTGGAAGAGGACTTCTAATAGTTACCATTTTATAAAGGGATGAAATATTTACAAATGGAGAAATATTTATGGAAAGGAAAAAGAGCTCAAGCAGTTATTCAGGTTATTATGGTTATTTTTGTTATGGCAATATCTGAACAATTGCATGATTTATTTAAGTAAAATGATACTCTTATTTTATGATATATTGGTGATAATATAACAGTAACCCCTCAATTTTCTATTTTGAGATGTTGCTGATTTATAAAATCTAAATGTACCAGAACCACGGATTTATAAAGCAGCATGATCATTTTTATGGATAATATCCTATAGTCCATGGTTTTAGGCAAGCAGAGAATTTCTTAACTCTTTTAATAAGTAATGTAATAATTTAGAAATATTGATGGTAACTTATGAGAAAGGATAAGGGTATAGAGGATTTTAAGTCCAGTTTTGTTAGTTTTAAGTATTTTCTAGTCAGTAATGATTAATTGGTAGTTTGTTTTATTGATATATTTTCTAGTTACTGGATAATGATGATGAGAAAGGCCTGACTCTACCAACTCTGAACCAGTCGAATCAAGATAATATAAATGTTGTTGCTCCTAAAAGTGATGAATCAACAAAACAAAGAGCTACTCCAGGGCTCACGATTCCTAGCCTGATAATAACAGAAGACAAAGAAGTACCACTTTTAGAGGAATACCAATCAGAAGCAGTGCCAGACAGAAAAATGAATAATATGCTCTTTCATCCAGAAGTAAAATTAAAAGATAACTATCCAAGCCTTATAAAGACAGACTCATCTGCATCAGAGGTAATGTTGAAAAGCATCCCTATAAGTCCAGGTGGGATAAAGAGGAGAAACTTAGATTCATCTCTAACAAAAATTAGGTGGCAAATTAACAGTCTACGCTTAGCTAGAAGGAAGAGCACAAGCTCAGTTTTCCCGGATTCAAAATCAAAAAGCAGTTTTCAAAGCCAAGATTCAAAGGAAGACCTTGAACTAAAGTATCTACCCTCAGAAGTATAAGACTAGGAAAAACAAAACAATTCATTAAAAAAAAACAAATTAAATACAAATAAATTGAAAATGCATTCACATGTTTCCAAGTGAAAGCGTATCTAAGTATATTAAACATTCCTGCCCTGTTTATACTCATTAAGTAAGGGGGGAAACTCTTAAAGGAAAAACAAAGTGATCAGAGATATCAGTAATACAAACCAGTCTCATAGGTTGTTGTAAAATTCAGCCGAAAATGTAAAAACAATAACAAAATGAAAATTCAAAGAAAATTTAAAAGCCTGGGAAGTTATTTCAGTGGAAGCTTTTAATAAAACCATTATATAATAGGAAATAGCATATGCCCTCCCTGTTATAAATAATTTTATAGTTTAAAATAAGAATTATCTGAATGTAAATTTAAAGTTACATCAGGGTATAAAGCCATTCTCAAAGTGACACTTATTCTATTTAGGTCTTTACATCTTATTGAAATTACTATTATAGGTAGCTCATAAAGCAATGTAAAAATATGTACTGGTCAGTGGGTAAACAGTCTGAGTTCTGAGTTAGGTTCTGCCTCTAAATATAATACTTCAACAAGTGTGGGCACCTAAATCTCTAGGCCTATTTCCTCATCTATTGAATGGTGGATCATACTAGGTCATTTCTAAATTCCCTTCAAATTTCAAAGATACAATTTTATTAAATACCTCTAGTTGGGGAATTATTCTTAATTACCTAGCCCAATAACCTAACCAATCTTACTGAAAAAGAGTAACATTCTTGTTTTTAACTGAATGTGTAAGTAATACAGTCATTATAGAAAATTTAGAAAAAAGAAATATAAAAAAAGATAAAAGTAGTTATAATTCTACTGCCTTATTTAAGAATTTTGTTTCCTTTTAGCCTTTGTTATGCAAATATACATATACCTTTTATTTATTTTTAAAAACTTGGATAAAACATACATTTATATATAATTTTATATTGTGCTTTTTATAACATTATATTATAAGCATGTTAACTGAATTTTCTCAAAAATCTACAAGATGCAGAATACCTTCAAATATAGATATTCAATAATTCTTTTAAACAATTTCCATATCATTGAACATTAAGTTTGAAATTAGTGTCTTTTTACTTAACTATTTATTTGGATCTGTGATTATCTCCTCATATATTCATAGAAATGGCATGTTGACAGATTGTTCTCCAGAAAGATTGTATCACTTTACATTCTCATCGGTGATATTTGAGTATTAATGGTCTTGTAAATAATGACTAAAACTTTCTTATGTTATTAGCCATTTCGATTTCCCTTACAAGTAGACAGATCATGTCCTTTGTCCATTTTTTCTGTTGCGTACTTGGTGATGTTAAGGTTTTATAATGAGCTCTTTTATTCTATGGATATCAACCACTTGTATATTCATAACACATATTTTTTCATAGCTTGCAGTTTGCCTTTTAATTTCTTTAAGTCTGACTTCTAAAATAGTTACTTTTCATTTGATAATTGAGCTATTTGTTGCTGAATAACAAACCACTCCAAAACTTAGTGGCTTAAAATAACTATTTTATTATCTCCCAAGATTCTGTGGGTTGAATGTGCTTGGCTGGGCAATTGTTTTGCTCTCCTTGATGTTGGCTCATCCTGTAGTCATCTAGGAACTCTATTTGGCTGAAACACTCATGATAGCTCACTTACATATCTAACACCTTGATGAGAACAGCTGTAAGTCAGTTGGGGTGTAGGGACACCTAATTTGATATCTCTTTCCCTCCCTCCTTCCCTCCCTTCTTGTAATCTTAGACATAGGGATTATGCATCTCCCTCTCTATTCCACCTCTTCATGTGGTCTCCCTATGTGGTCTTTCTAACAGAACAGCTGAACTTCTTATGTGGCAGCTCGTGACTTCCAATATACAAAAACAGAAGCTTCAGGTACTCAAAGACCTAGGCTTCAGACTAGCACAGAGTCACTTCTGCTGCGTTCTGTTAGTTAAAGCAAATCTCAGGCTCATCCCTGATTTCATATGGTAGGGACTGCATAAGGGCATGAGTCTTGGAAGGTGTTGTTCATTGGGGTCATATTTTATTAGTTACCACAGATTATCTTTAGCTCCAAGTAATTCATGTTCCTCCCACATGCAAAATATACTTACTTCACTTCCAAGATCTTTAGTCTCATGCTATTACTGCATTAGGTTTAGGCTTGAGGTACAGAATTTCAACACCTAAATCAGATCCTGATGAATGAGGCTTCTTGAGTATGCCTCCTCTCAATTTTAAGACCTGTGAATTAAGATACTAGTTATTTGTCTCCTCCTGTGAGTCAGGAACAGGAAAACTATTGTAGAGTATTGCGAAGGTGGAGGAAGGGGAAAGTGAAGCATATAGCAATCGGTGGGCCATAGTAACTCTGAAGCTCCTGGCTCTGCCGTTGGGGCTTGTCTTTACCCTCTGAATAATTTTTCTTTTTTCATAAGAAAGAACTCATATTTGTAGCTGAGTAGCTTTGCAGTCTATGTCTTGTCTCTAGAAAGTTGAGAGTTCAAACCCTCTTTTCATTTTAAATTTTCTCTGTTCCTTTCAATCCAAGATGCTATGATTATCTTAACGATTTTATGTGTATCCTATGTATCAAATTATGATCTCAGCCAAATGTTACACCTCTAAATGTCTTTAAGACAGGCCCCTATTTACCTTTGGCTGATAGTCAAGGCTCTGTAGCACATCCTTAAAAATCTTAGGAGCTATTCTGTTGAGCAAAGAGGATCTAAGAGGTCACCCTACGATACTTAGAATATTTTTTGTCTGAGTTGGTCTGTGAGACACCACCTTAAATCTTTTTTTGAGGTCTTAACAGTTCTTACAGCCACACCCTGTGATCTTGACTTTGAAACCACATTTTACTGGCAATGCCATTGGACCCTGACCAGCGAAGTCATGAGATAAGAATTTGGGGCATTGGTTCAATGGCTTAACAGTGTCATCAAGGACCCAGGAACCTGACTGTTTCTTATTTGTCCTCTTTTCATGCTCATGCTTGTGTCTTCTTGATCACAAAATGTTGCTCAGTCCTTGGCATTACGTATAGATGAAGGCTGATGAAAGGATGTGGGGGACAGGACAGTCAAGAACTTCTTTTGCTCTTGCCCCTTTTATTTTTACAAAGAAACAGAAATTTACTCAGTAATCCCCCAGTAGATTTTTGTGTGTCTCATTGAATAGATTCACATCGCATGACTACCTCTAGCTTCAAAGGAGAATGGGAAAACTGTATCTGGCAAAGGGAATGGGATTGCCAATAATTTATCATTTTGTACTGCATACATTGCTGTTATAAGCAAAATTCAGGTTCTGTCAGTAACAAAGTAGTCTGGGTCATGGTTATTGTGTAATCAATTAGCAGTAGAGCCATAATTATTCTCTTCCCCCAGATCTTCCCAAGGTTTATTCATTCATATCATTCAGGTCTCTACTCAGCTGTTAACTCTTTAGAGGGGGTTGTGCTGACCACTCCACATAAAATAATTATCCGCTCACCCACCCTCCCCCATCTCTATTACTTTTTTTCATGTATCATTACCTGGTATCATATTACATAGTTGCTTATTTGTTTATTGTCTGTCATTCCCACTTGATTTTTAAGTTCTAGATGGTAATGATTTAGTCTTCCTCACCACAGTATCTTACCATTTAGAACAATGATAAATCCATAATAGGCACTCAACAAATATTTGTTGAATTAGTTAGTTTAAAAAACTGCAGTGTATTGTGGGGTTTTTTTTAGAATCTCTGAATATATTATAACTCTTGGACCTCATTGTATATAATAATGAAAATCACCTGGTCATAGGAAATGCAAATTATTTTAGTATGGCATAGCAAATATCAGAGATAAGGCAGCAAGATTAATTCCACATTTCATAGAGTCGTGATAAGGGCTCTGATTATGTATTATGTATTATTATGTAGTCTTTGAGTTTAAAGCCTCTAGTGCCTGCAGAAGACTAGGATTAAAGAAGGCAGGGAGTGTTATATGTGATATCACTAGTCATCAGTTCATTCATTTGAATTTAATTGCCTTCACTAAGCTATGAATTCCATTTATGAAATTTAAATCCTTGAACCATCACTGATGGACAGATGGGAGATAAACCATGATCAACCAAACTCTGTCTTTGCTAACTCTGCACTTTTAATCAGCCCAAGTCATGCATGCGAAATGAACCTTACAATTATTTTATCCACTGTTTTAATTCAGTTATTGTTTCACCTGAAAGTTTTTCTAATGTATATGTTTTCTTTTCATAGATGTAGTGAATTATTTTTTCAACTAATTAAGACTATAAAATAGAGATGAATAGTTTCCATGATTTTTGGAGTAAGGGGAACTTTTCCAATTGATCAAAATAGACCTTCTTTTGGAATAGATCATTTAAAAAATTCTAATCATTTCTCTCTTTGCTCATACTTTTCTCTGGAAGGTCTATTTGCCCATTGGTATCTGAGATGGATTGTATCAGTAATTGTTCATTTAAATCTTTTGGCACCAGACAAAGGAAAGGAGTCATTTTATATTTCCAGTAATTTTAATGTTGCTGCATTAGGATTTCATTGACTTGTAAGGAATAGGAAAAGAATATACAGCATGAAGCAATACATACCAGGGAACATCACTGCATTTCCTGAATATTTCCGTGTTCATTGGGACAGCACTCCTTTACTTAGCTGGGCACCATCTACTGGTTGCTGGTGCTATGAGCTTGAAGAAATGTGTGTTTCCATTGAGGGGCAAAGGATTCTGCTCACTTTCTTCCAAGTCAGGTTTTGATTTGAATATCATAACTTACAGGTTGATCGGTTAGCCCTTCAATCTGTTTACTTCTTGACTATGTCTTACAGAAACATTTTTGGACCGTAGATGGTACCCATGGCCTTACTATTTTCCATCCTGCTCCCACCCCTATCTACTCTCCAGCTTTCTTTGTCCTGTCTTTTGCCCTAAGGTGATGAC